CCAGAGATTTCTCGCTTGGGTTAACTTGTGACTTTCTTCACGATTAGCCTAAGGGATACTGTCGGGTAGAAAAACGGCAAAAATAGAACGTAATAAGGCCCCCAATCCGGCTTAGCCGACGTGCATACTTAAAGCGGACGAGTTTTCCTGCGTTGTAGGAGCTGTAGAGGTCGCACTATTCGCAACGGAACTCACACCTTGCTCGCAGCCAGCTTCATGCAGTGGCGCGCACATTTGAAGAGCTCGTTTAAATACCTCTTCCATGCAACTTCTGTCATCACATCTCGCCGAGCTCTAGTTTTACTACTTTTTTTGGAGCTTTATATATTTCTGAATATACGCGTGAGTATCACTGCATTATTCGTCTTTAACTGAATACCCCAAATTTATCGTGAACTGTGGCTTAATTTTAATACGAGAAAGTTATAAGCAAAAATCCGCTGTGTTCAAGACAGTGTGTCAGTATATGATTTAAAAATGATAAGACCGATAGAAGTTTAAAAGAATTGAGTCATTACGTGTCGTTCAATAGGAAAGAACGATATTATTCATTTTCTGATGCATAAGCAACAACTAGAAGTATTTTCAAGACTGCACAATGGAAATGGCTATGAAGGATGTGAGGTGTACAACACTGATCGGTGATGTGGTATATCAGCCGGAAAATAAAACCAATAAGCGAGTCTGGTCGAGAGTTAAGAAAGTCCATGGCACCATTCTCATCAATGGAGTGACTGAGGAACGCTTAAGATTGCCAAGAGGTCTCGTCGTTCATGGATGGGCACGTGAGTAGAGCTTTGAATTCGTCTTCCTCATATCAACATATTAGTCATCTGATTTAGCTCGAGTCGTGAGGGTTACTAACAATCGCATTCTCAAGTATATTGGTGCTCTACTACGCATAGATGTGAACGGCCCTGAGCCATGGTTCTGGTTCTATAATAATTCGAAATTTTGCCATACCGCCGATATGAAAAAGAAAATTGAAGAAAAAATAAATGGAAAGTTGGAATGGAATGAGGACTGTTGTAAGTTCATCTAGTCAAACTTGCTGACCAACCTTCCCCCCATCCTCTGCCCAATGAC